GAAGGAAGGAAGGAAGGAAGGAAGGAAGGAAGGAAGGAAGGAAGGAAGGAAGGAAGGAAGATGTATTGAACAATAACAGCAATATAACTGTAGGCCCGTTTTTGTTCACTCTTTCCAGAAATTGAAAAGTTCCAGAGTTCTGATGAGAAAAAGGAGGATGAAGAGAAAAAATATCTTGATGTCATCAGCAATAAAAATATAAAGCTGTCAGAGAGAGTATTGATTCCCGTCAAACAATATCCAAAGGTATCGTAATAACAACATAATATATGATATATATTGTATTTTCTTGATAAATGGCTATAGTGATTGTTATAATTTGATGTCATGCTCCAAATGCTTCATCGGGAATTGAAACGTTTTTGCTTCTCTTGGTTGTTTTGAGTGAAATATGTGATCGCTTTTTTTCAAAATGGGTTTTGGAGAAAACCTGCTGGAAGGGGATGGACAGAGGGAACGCCGGCGTCTATTTTGCATAAAGACAAATTTCATATTTGGAATGACCCACTTAAAGGATCAGGTAAAAGATGAACAAACCTTCTACCTCAGATTTATTATCTTATTTATTAAACAAATTTATATAGCTATCCAACTCATACATGGGTGACTCAGGTGGCTTACAAAATGTACAGGTCAAGGGTAGATAAATGGATGACCAAACTAATATCCTAAATATCCAGCTCCCAACTTGATTCAAATCCACCTTAGCATCGGTTTCATTTGCATCACTTTGTACGAATTGCAGATGTTCTTTCATGCAGAGTGCTTTTAATTTGTAATAAACTGGGGGATTCAGTTCCATTTGTCATGAATGCAGAATATCTTTTGTGCAAGATGCCTGCTAAGTCATTTGCCCATTGATCATCAGTCTGCAACTTTTGCCATTTTAAGGTGGAGTATTAGGACGTGGTTTTTGTAGCTTTAAGTAATCCAACCTCACAGCGTTGTTAGGGAAAATAGGAGGAAGGTTGGATATGTTTTCTGCCTTGAGTTATTGGACCCAATAATAAAGGTAGAATATAAGTAAATAAAATAAATACCCCTGGGAGGTTCTACATGGGGCTGCACTGGCTACCTGTCGATCTCCGGATACGCTTCAAGGTGCTACTTGTCACCCATAAAGCCCTTCATGGTAGTNGATAGGTAGGGGGAGAGAAAGAGTAGGTAGGTAGGTAGGTAGAGGGATAGAGAGAGAAATAGAAAGAGAGAGAGAAATACAGTAGATAGGTAGGGGGAGAGAAAGAGTAGGTAGGTAGGTAGGTAGAGGGATAGAGAGAGAAATAGAAAGAGAGAGAGAAATACAGTAGATAGGTAGGGGGAGAGAAAGATTAGGTAGGTTGGTAGGTAGAGGGATAGAGAGAGAGAAATAAAGAGAGAAGGAGAGAAATACAGTAGACAGGGTGGGAGGGAGAGAGTAGGTATGTTGGTAGGTAGAGGAATAGAGAGAGATAGAGAAATAGAGAGAGAGAGAGAGAAATACAGTAGATAGGTAGGGAGAGAGAGTAGGTAGGTACGTAGGTAGATAGAGGGGGGAGAGAGAGAAATACAGTAGGTAGGTAGGGAGAGGGAAAGAGAGTAGGTAGGTAGGTAGATGTTTCCAGGTGTATTTATCCATGTGCTGGAGAAGGAAATCACTGACAATCTGCAGCCTCTAAGACTTTCTTTCTGCTGGCACAGCACCTGATCAATGTAATTCTCACCAATCAGTTAAAGAGCTTTCCAAAAGGAAAAAAAGTTTTTGCACTCTGCAAACCTCCCAAAAGCAGTCCATTTTTCGTGAAAACTGACCCGTTTTTTAAAAGGCATGAGGGGGGGGGGCTTGCAGAGTGCTCCTGGGGGTGGGCCACCCCAAAATGAGCAAAGAAAGGCAAAATTTTTATCAAAAAAATTGCATGCATATCCTTATGCTTATATAGTGCTGCTGGGACCTGGGGGGGGGCAAAAAAACGGCCCATTTTTTGCTCATTTCTGCCCTCCCCAGCCCCCAGGAGCTCTCTGAAAGCCTCCATAAGGGTTTGCACGGCCATTTTGGTGAAGGGGCGGGGCTTTGGGAGGCAAAAAATGCTGTATTTGATGTATAAGATGCACCCAGATTTTCAGCCCCTTTTTTGTGGAAAAAAGGTGTAACTTATACTCTGAAAAATATGGTAAGTTCAACTTTTTTTACTTGGGCAAGACATAATGACTCGATTGACACATCCCACAACAGGACCTATCAAGCCCCACTACAGTTTAGCACAGTACATAAGAAACAAAGATCCTTCATATTTTTCCCCTACTGCTGGGGTTACACCCAAGATACCAGAAATTCTAGAAAGTATAATTTCTGGTTATCTGAGGAATAAAATGGAAAAATAAAGCCTTTTTAAAAAAATTACATACATTTATGAAGTCTAAAGGTGCTTTTGTAGATCTGTAGTAGCAAATCATTCTACTGGAACTCTTGTTGATAATAATGATAAAATTTGGAAAACACAATGCCGTTCTAGATACAAGGAGAAGAATTTAGGGATGTAAAACTGCACAAAGTATTGGCTGGTAGATATTTCAAATTGAGTCTTCCATAAAACTTTTGCTTGGCTTGGTCTTGCTTTGCTTTGCTGGGATATAGTGTTTTATTTTGTACTATAGATTTTCCATACATTAGCTTTTTCTCATTAAACAAATATTGCATTTGCCATTTTTTAAAAGAAAAAAACCACAATGCACCAATGACCTTTTCTTTTACGAATTTTATCTAATTTGGAAGGACACCTCTTTTTGCTAGATGCAAGATAGATTTGTGCTAAACACTTTTACAGTTGGGGTTCTTCTGACTTGCTAACTGGTAGTATTTTTTTGGGGGTGGTTTGAGTTAACTATTTATATAAAGACTTCTGATAACATTTCTATCTTGGGTTTTAACCAACATCAGACATTATTCTACACAGTAGATGTCTATTATAATTCTAGCTTGTTATCTAGCTTTTCCTGCAGGTATATTTATTATAAATAAAAATCTCCAGAATCTAAGACAAATTGTTATGAATTTAGGCATAGATAATGTTATAAAGCTTCTAAAATGTAAATGTTTAATTATTCATTATAACATTTTATTCCAAATAGTTTTATTCAGCCACTCTTTTGCTTGACGCTTCATTTTCAGTTACTAAAATTAATTGAATCAAATGTAATTGATAAAAATGAACACCCAATTTGACATAGTGGTTAAGACATCAGGCTATTTAACTGGAGAACAAGTTTTAATCCATTTTAGACTAATACAGACTGAATGACTTTGGAGCAGTCACTTTATCTCAGCTTAACCCAGCCTAACCTCACAGGGGTTCGGAGCAGTGCTAGGTATGTTTGCTGCCTGGAGTTATTTATAAAAAGAATAAAGGTGAAATAAAAATAAATAAAATAAATAAACAGGCTGTATTCATGCAGTATACTAATCCCTAAATTCAACTGAATTCACCCAACTGCCTGGTTCACAGAATGATCTACATTGATTGGTTTCAAGCCTTGCAAATCTGGCAAATTTGGGAAACAAGAAGCACTTGGATTTTTACTGCCAGTAGGGTAATATAACAGAATCTTGAATGCCTACCAAATAAATTCTCTTACACACTAGTGTACTTAAAGCAGTTGTTCTGAATCTCTCAGTCTCTTTCTCATGCTTCCCTCCCTCTCCTGCACTTGGTAATCTCTTCTATAATGGGCCTGTTCCTCCATTAACTGTCTTAATGTTTCACAGTGGTTCCAAGGTCTATTAGAAATTCCCTCACAGTAGACCAGGCACAGCACCATAATAAACTAGCCAAGCATATGTTAGCCTAGTCCTAGTATGCTGTTCTGAGCCCAGCCTAGAAGAAACTTTTCTAGAATTTGATATTTAAGATTCAAACCTTTATTTCTTTCTTTTTAAATCTTGTGTATATTATAATAGAACTATTATAACATATCATAACTGCAGAGTTGCTTAGCAAGTGGGGTTTCTTCTAGCATACAAAGCAGCAGATTTTGTTTGTGGTAGGCATTTTTTTTAAGTGTACAAACCAGTTCCATGGGTTGTAGATATCATGATAAAAATATAAGTTGCATAGACTTATTCAAGTCAAATTACGTCCTGTATGTTTGAGCATGATGTAAATATTATGCAGGTTATTAATTATCCATATTTCAATAGCTGTTTTTTTCCTCATCTATTCTATTGTGCAGCTCTGCATTAGTTATATATTAATAACACATACAAACATGCACAAAGTCACATACACAAACAAACACGCATACAAATTGTAAACCTTCCTTATAAAATTATGTTTCACTTTTAACATACAGAACTCATTTAAAATGAGAGAAAGAAAGGTACTTAGAGTGAGAATCTATCATCCCTGATCCTAGTTTTACTTTAGCCCCCAAAGATTAGCTGGTTTACACTCTGGTGTTTCCAGAGAAACAATTGTTCTATTATCCAGATCATCTCTGGCAGACGGAGCGCGGTGCCCTCTCGCTCGGCCCCACAGCGGCCTGGCTCGCCTGAGGTCCCCCGGCGCTGCCCTCCTGCCTACCTGGGGCCTGGCGCGCCGCTACGATCCCCGGGCTCACGTAGCAGGTGGGCGGGTGGTGGAGGCCGGCTGGCTGGCTGGGCGAGGAGGTGCCTGGAGGAAGGGGCGGTGCCGGAGAAGAGCCACGGAATTGGCGCAGTCCTCCGCCGGACTGCAGGAATAGCCATGAGGACGCGAGGGGGAATCTGCCATTCCAGTCCGTCAAGAGGCAACGCGAACTCCCTTTCTCTCATGCTGAAAGTTGTTAATCTTTGCACGTTTACCTGGCAGTAATCGTTACTGTTAAACATCTGTATAACATCTTCTGGTTTGTATCAACCCAACCAATCAACTGAAGTGGAAGGGACCTCCGAGCTCGCTTCCACACTGACCCTTTGCGTTCCTGCCACTGCCGCCACCACCACCACCACTGTTGGATATGGGTTTGTCATGGCGCTGGAGACCATCTCGCTGGATTGGGAATTCGACTGCGTTGACGACGGCTCTCAGAAAATCCATGTTGAAGTGCAGTTTCATCGGATTTACTGAAAAACTGAACTCATACTTTTACACGCTCAAACGTGTGATCCGAAAGATGGTCTCTCTCCGCAAGAACTACGGGAGCTGCCCGGGACCTTTGGAAACATGGCGGCCACCGTGGTTGTCGCGGCCCAGAGAGTCTGCAATGCTGGCATCCTCAGGACCGCGTGCAGAGGTGAACTCTTTTATTGCTTTCGCCTGAACTGAGATTTCCATGCATAGGCTGGATCAGGGAGACTTCTTCATGTTAACCTTTCTTCTTCTGGGCCCTTTTAGTCTCTGCCCTTGTATATGTATATGTATATATGTATCGGATTGCAACCATAGCCTCTGTAGCTTCGGTTGCTGTTTTAAGAGTAGCAAATCTGCTATAACAAAATAGCATGAATGTGGAGAGAAAATGTGCCCACTTTTAATTTATTGCATTGTATTTGAGTAATTAGTATGGGGTGTATTTGAAGAGAGTGTTTGATCGGTAAGTATGGGAGGACCGGGGATACGGCCTGGAGTCCCCTCCACTGAATGCGGAAGCAGAAGTGGAAGGGGGCCCAGACTCACCTCCCGGCCTGGTGTGAATGGAATATATGACCTGCCGGGAAGAAGGGGGGCCGTGGGAGAGGGGGAGGGGTCTACGGGGATAGGGGGAAATCGGAGCATCCTGGTCATGAACTGGGAGGGGCAGATATGGCGGGAGCTGTAGGGCTAGCCATTATCGGGGAACAAGGACTCGCTACATTACAGCGATGGCTTCTTCTGGCCCAACAGGCTCAACTCAAGGATCTGGTGTCAGAGGAGTGCAGGGCCTCAGTCTCAGGTTGTGGTTGCTAAATGCCAGGTCAGTCGTGAACAAAGCTCCCCTCGTCTGAGATTTAATATTGGATGAGGAGGCAGACCTGGCATGCATAACCGAAACCTGTCTGGGCCAAGAGGGGGGTGTTCCCCTCTCAGAAATGTGCCCAGATGGGTTTCAGGTGCTCCACCAACCACGACACCAGTGAAAGGGTGGGGGAGTAGCAGTTATTGTCCGAATGTCGTTAGTTCCTCACAGGATCCCTGCCCCAGAGGTTGTGGGGTTTGAGTGTCTCCTCTTGAAGTTGGACCTAAGGATTCAATTGGGCTTGCTATTGATGTACCTGCCTCCCAGCTGCGTCACGACAGCCCTACCTGTGCTATGAGAGCCAGTAGCTGGGTTGGCAGTGG